GATTTTCATGCTCAAGTATTAGCCCTATCCTTTTACACTTTGACGTAATTATCTCGATAATAGTCCCCTCTTATCCAGAAGATATATTGGCATGAATGAAATCCAAGGGGGTCCTCTGACAACTCCGGCCATGCAAGAAGGCGATCGCGGAATCACTAGTTCACCCTGGTCTCCTTCCATTAGTTCAATGATTGCCCCTCTCTTGTCAAAAACTCGAATGTATTACAATGTTGGTTGTGACAGTACAGAGTTTAATTACGTCAAAACGAATGAAATGTTTTTGCTACGATGTATTTTGTGATCTATACAGACCGGTTGCGTTCCATGTCCATTAGGACCACGTTGTTTTATACTGAAGTCTGTTTTAGTGGCGAATGCGTGAGAGGACTTCAGTGGAGTTGATTTGTTGAGACTTGAGGGAAGCGGAGCGTTGTACTATGAAACTGACTTATTGATGGTTAGCCTTACAAGCTGATCCAAACAATTGACAGTTACCCGAGTCGTTAGATCATTCCACACTGACGAGGATTCGTATTGCAGAAAAATGCTAATTTACAATTTGGTGCACGTCTGACGGGATGCTCTTCACTGATGCTTGAATTAGTCTGATCATGTTTGTTCTTCACCTAATTCATCATTTTGCTCCCATTCATCTACCCTCATTTGTTCTATTTCTATCTACACACGAACCGTGCAGTTGCTTTGGCTATTGCTTGCCGCGACCTTGATGGGATTGTTCATGCAACGACTGGCTGCCCGACTAGGTGTGGTCACTGGTAAGCACTTGGCTGAGATGTGTTACGATGAATACCCCAAACCGGCTCGTATTCTGCTATGGATTATGGTTGAAGTAGCCATTATCGGCTCAGACATGCAGGTTCGTCTTCATTGTTTATTTCTTTATTTTTATTAATGATGGTGTAAGTGCTAATAGTATTGAAGTTGGCCACCAAGCTGGACTCTCAGCAGCAACATTTTCTATACCTCTCTTCGTCCCATTCATTGTTTCTCATTTTGACCCGTCCCGTTTTTCCCACTCACCTCCACACGCAAACAGGAAGTGATCGGTACCGCGATCGCGATCAATTTGCTCAGCGCAGGCTACGTTCCGTTATGGGCTGGTGCACTGATCACCATTGCTGATACGTTCACGTTCCTTTTCCTGGATAAATATGGCCTGAGAAAGTTGGAACTGTTTTTCGGCTTGCTGATCACTACCATGGCTCTCACGTTTGGTTACGAAGTGAGTCTTATTCGGGATTTTTCGCGTCTCACCATTGGCTCCTCGCAGCCGAGCCCATCTGTGGGCGTGTACTTTTGCAGGCAGTCGACTGTTTTACAGTTAGACTATTCTTTAGTAGTATCCATCTGGTTTCAACCGTTACCTTTTTGGATCCAGTCGTAGCTCAGCCTTGATCTTCCGTAACTGAGCAATAATCACTAACTAGATTGATTTGCACATCTGAAATTCCTCCGGTATTCTAAATTTGATATATTTCACGTTTAAACATGGCGCTCGCGCAAATTGTTCCTGATCACCAACTAATTCACGCCTCGTCGATCTATTGCTTAGCTTGCGTAGTGATATACGCTTCGGTCATCCTCAGCTATTTTGTTTTAACAAATGTTCATCTGTGCAAGGATGATCTGCCGTCTGTCTCGTTCACACCCCGGTCATCCGGATGCGATTGACCACATCTGACTTGACCGATTTTGTTGTGTTGTACAGCTGGAAATGCCGAAGTACATGTGGGGTACCGCTAATTGAAATGGTCTGAGTTGATCGACTGGCGCGAGCGCGCGCGGGACAGAGAGGGATTGACGTCATCCATACTAATTGTGAGTGGGTNGAGTGGGTGATCGCGGATGTGTATGCTTACACGTGTTCCGTTTCATACGCAGTTCATTCCGATTTACTGGTCTGATTGAAACTGAAGCGTACTGCTTCTCATACTCTCATGAATAAATGGCTGTTCACCGCATTATTGCCAAAAGCCTTCTACACATACTCACACACCATTGTGAAAAACGGAACTCTGGTTTTTAGAGAGTCCGAATCACATGTAGATCTTCCGAATAGCCACCAACGAAGCCCGGGATAGACTAGATAAACTCTCCGTCAATCTCGATAAAAGTTTTACAAATTGATGGATTTAGAACGGAATGGGGACCACGTTGCTTAAGAAGAGCCCAGATAAATCCACGGACAGAAAGAGAGTATCACCATGCCACAGTCACTGAAAATGTTCTCACGGCTGATGATGAAATGTAGGTAAGCGAATTCTTCAACTCGGCTGATTGGCAAGCTGTGAAGGGCAATCAGCCACATTTGTTCAGTTTTGTTTGTTCTCTAAGAAAATGTACATCAGAATCTGGCGAGGGCAAAAATATGCATGTATCCTTCCACTCGGTCGTAAAATTCCACATTCCCTTTAGCAAGATACAGATCTGCCTACAAGTTTGTGCAGGATTCATACGTGCACGGTCTATGACAACTTACGAGCATTTTGACAATTCCAACGTAAATTTTGGGCGGAAAATGTACGTTGGTATCTGGTTGAAGTGTCGTAAAAATGTATTCATTCACTGCAAACCAGATAGCTCGAGGTTTTCGGAGCTCTCACTTGCTACGGCTCGTACGGGATATAATTTCCGTGCCCATCGAGCGGTTTCTGTTCTGATGGAAGTGAATCGCAAACGAGT